CGGGCGACCCGTTAGGGTCGACAGTCTCCCTCTGCTTCTCCCTCTCCCTCTCCATGTGCCTGCTCCCTGTCCCTCTCCCTCTCTCTCTCTCTCTCTCTCTCTCTCTCTCTCTCTCTCTCTCTCTCTCTCTCTCTCTCTCTCTCTCTCTCGTGTCGTCGACCGTTCGTCCGATAGATAGGTAGATAGAGTTGAGGAGGGAAGTGCCGAGACCGACAGAATCTCCCCCCATGCTTTGGCCCAATTACAGCTCGAATCCCATCTGCTCGGTTTCCTTGCGGCAGCCAGTTCCTTCGATCCGCCCGTATCGCCGCGAGCCAGCGCCACTAGGAAGCGGCGCGATTCCGCCCGCCTCTGCAATCGCCACTTGGTTGGCACGCTGTTCTCAGCGAGGAACGCGAGCGCCACCGCAGCCAACTCTTGTTGCCCAGATATCGCCACTGGCACTAAAAATAATTTCGACCCTCGCACAACACGAGGCACGGGACTGGCGCGCACTGGCACTTACACAAGAAAGTGCCCCCGCCGGGCGCCGGGGATCCAGCACCTCAAACAAGTCGATAAAAAAAGAAAGAATCTGCCCGATTGAATTTTACCGCGGCGAAGCGGGGATAGCATCCCTCAGCCGGTGGGCTGGGACGGGGACGGCTATGAGAGTCCCGGCGTCATACTTGCCAACGCGGCGTGCGGTGAGGGCAGCACGACGTGGCCGCAGCTGAACGCCAGCTATAGCTTTGTCGACGCCTTCGAGTCCCTTGAGTCCGAGGTGGTTGGCACCGGCAATCGCGCGCGCTTCAGCTACTGGCTCAAGACGATGCAGGGGCTGCGACTGATAGGAGAGTTTGGCTGTGTGCGTGGCGTCTTCGAGGCGGCAATGAATAGCGGCTCCTTTGCGACCGCACTCGAGCAGCGAACTGCGCTGGCGCGGCTGTTCGAGCGCATTATCACCCTCCTGATCGAGCGGATCGTCAACGTGAGTGACCTCGGCGAGATCATCAACCACGAGATCGTCACGTGGAAGGGGAGGATCAGCAAGTTTGACAGCGCCCTGGCTACGGGCTTGGGATACGCGATCCCAGCCGGCGCCGCGCCCTCCCTCGACTACACTGGCGCGCCGGTGCTTGTGGTGACGACGCCACGGACGCACGCTTACGCGGGTGAGGCGACACTGATCCGGGCGCGCTAACGCGCAGCATCCTCGGCCGTGAAAGCATGTTGACACCCGTCCGTGATGCCTTTGAATAGGCCCTGCAGCTGGGCGGCACCTCCGCACCGACCCTCCATATCCGACCGCTCGGCGAGGGTGAGTACTCGGCCGTCGAGCTGACCTCCATCGCGCGCGGCGTCTACGAGTCTCACGTGGCGAGGGACGCGGACTTCGAGTACTACCTGGCCTCGCAGAGCGGCGCGGGCGATCTGCGCTGGCCCGCGACAGCGCCTCAGATTAGCCAAACGGTCGTGGTGACGCCAGGGGCAGGGTAATGGGGGCGCCTTCAGCCTGGGAGGTGGGGCTCCCCTGTGCCCTGAGGGGAAGCCAAGGCCCCGCAGTGCCGCCCGGCGCCGGCGGTGCGGGCCTGCGGGTGGGGGCGTAGGCGCGCCTGGCGGTGTGCTCTGGACATGCTTTTGGCTCTAAATAAAAACGGACACCTCTACTAGGAGATGGGTAGAAGGGAAGGTCCCCGCCCGTGCTCTGGACCGTGTGTATGCAGCACCCTTTTTTTTCAACATATTTTCTCCCTCTCGCGTCGCGTTTTACACATGATGGACTGACACACCTCACAATGGAACGCGAGACAGCCCACGGCGCGCTCTCGCGGCCTTGAAAGCAATAGGCCCAAAGGTTACGGTGACGACGACTGTGTCGGGCCGCGCTTCGCTCGGCTCCTCACGCAAAATGGCCGGCGCGTGCGGGAAGGCACCGGGTGCTAGCTCGGTGCGGACTCCTCCGCACTGCTGAAGAGGGAGTAGACGTGGTGCGCCACCACGCACGCGATGGTTGTGCCGACCACGTCCACCACCACCTGGCCGCGAGTACTGCTGTCGTGAAGGGGCTGCCTGGACGCCTCGACCAGTGCAACGCTCAATGGGAGGGCCGAGGTGCGGCCGAGGGAGGTGCGGCCGAGGTGCGGCCGAGGTGCGGCCGAGGTGCAGCCGAGGTTTAGCCGAGGTGCAGCCGAGGTGCGGCAGAGGTGCAGCCGAGGTGCGGCCGAAGTGCAGCCAGGACCTCGATGGTGTGTATGGGCGAGGCTTAGCCCCCACAATCGGGCGGGTGTCGGTCCTAGCCTCGGCTGTCTTGCCGTGCGCGTGCGTGCAAGCCCCGCGGCGTGGACTGTGCGGAGGCCGCTCGCGACAGCGGTGGGTGCTGCGCAGTCTATTTGACCGCCTGCACGACTGGCGGAGACCCGACGGCGGCCTGGCCGTACCGGTCGAGGAAGAGCACGACGCAGACGGCCACGACGTTGGCGAGGAAGACGATGATCGCGTACGCGGTGGAGATTGCGACCTAGTGCAGAGAGCGCGCGCGCGCGCGCGCGCGCGTTCGTTCCCTAGTGGTTGAAGACATGTGAGGGGGGGGTGGGAATCGGTGTCCTGCACTGATCAGCACGCTACACTCGGCTCGCGAGAACACAAAGGCCATGCCCACAGCAAATACGGCTGCAACGCCGTGCACCAGAGTCGAGTACACGTGTCGCGTCGAGTGCTACTCGTCAGCATCTAGAGACTGCGACAGCGTCGACCAGGCCGGCGTGCTTGGAGAGCAGCGAGACGCGAGGGAAAGCGCAGGCGCCCACTGTCAGGCCGAGGATCGCGCCGATCGACGCCTCGCGCGCGAGCACGCTCCCAAAGTCCGCGGGCGACACCTGACCAATAAACCGGCTCATTCATTGCACATTTCGCACCCATCCGGCCTCCCAGAGTCTGCGGTCGACTCCTCTCCAGTACGGAGGCGCTGGACGAGGTCGGCGATCGTCTGGCCCGACGCGTTCCCGCCGCCTCCGACGAGCATCGTGAGGAAGGCGGTCAGTACGATGTGGTCCGAGATGAGGCTGGAGAAGATCTCGACGATGACACCCGAGAGCGACTGCACTAGCATTAGACCGACGAGCCACGGGAGCCTGGCCCGTACGTCGACGTAGAGAGAGGTATCCAAATACTCTGCTCTCGAGCTCGTCCCTCTCGACGAGCGCGCGGCGGCAAAGCAGCGGCCGGCGCCGCAGCGAGGGCAGTGCGAGGCGTGTGGCGCCGGCTCCTGGGCGTCAGACCGGAGCGACTCCTTTGGCAGAAGGGACATGAAAAGTGTGGCAGCGGGGTTTGGGTTGCGGTTGGGGTTGGGGTCGTGATCGAGATTTTTCAGTGTGTGCCCTTGGCACCGTGGAGTGCTGGGGGGGGCGACAGGGAGGATGTGGCCCTGAGTTATGTGTACGCCGACTCAGGGTGTGTGGCAGCCAGCTGGCTGTGTGTCTTGTGAGCTTGTTTGTGTCTGTGTGTCGCTCGTGCGTGTCGTCATCATCTGTCTAGCGTCCACCCATACCGCGTTGGTGTCCAGTCCGAGCCTGGCTGTTCTTCACCTTACTACCTACCTACCTACCTTCAGTGTATGTAGCTCTTACGTTTTTAGCACATGGGCTGCAAGGCGCGCGGGCAGCCCGGCCAACCCTTCTCCCACAAGACCGGCCACGGCTACGTCAAGGCGCATCGCGGTTTCTACCACGACGCGATCTTTGTCAAGCGCAACAACTTCAACCTGCTGCTCCACGAGACGTTCGGCGGCGGCTGGTTGGGGTTGGGGTTGTGTGGGGTTGGGGTTGGGGTTGTGTGGGGTTGGGGTTGTGTGGGGTTGGGGTTGGGGTTGTGTGGGGTTGGGGTTGGGGTTGCCGTGCCCACAACAGCGCCCTATCTAGATACAACATATCGACTCCGCTGCCTTCCCCAGCAGACTGGCACGGACTAATTATGCTCGTTCGGGGCGGCTCGCGCGCACACACACACACAAAACACAACAACCTCACACACACACACACACACACACACACACACACACACACACACACACACACACACACACACACACACACACACACACACACACATGCATGCATGCATGCACAGACAAACAGCCCCTTCCCTTCCTTCCCCCTCAAGACCCTCAATCAAGGGCGAGGACACACACAGGACGCACCTCTAGCGAGGCCCGCATAGTATGTGGGAGACTCCTGCCACACTTACTCACCCCCGGTGCAGACGTGGCACGGTGTGGTCACGCGTCTCTTTCTCTCGACCTTGGACGTCGATTGCTCGATTCCGTCAGCCAAGGCCGAGCGTCTCAGTGAAAAACCAGCCAACGTGGCAAGCAGCGGTGGAGCAAGGATTCTTCTTGATTTTGGTGACGCACGTGTCCGTCTGCAGGCGGCGGCGGTCGTTGGCCTCTTGCGGATGGTCTTTGCAGCAGGGCAGGTCGGGGTGATACGCGCAGGTGCTGCAGATGGCCGCTGTGGCGGCCATCTGCAGCGGCAAGTGTTTGTGGTAGTCGGAGGGGGTGGCGTCCGGTTCCGGTCCCCCCCAAGTCTCCTCCGCATCGAGGCTGCACGTCACAGGGCAGGTCATCTTCACTTGCTCCACGCACGCCGTGTCGCAGGCCGAGTTGGTGGTGTCGCAGAGGCCAAAGCCTTTCGCTTGCTTGCACGTCGGGACGTCACATGGCACGAGAGCCGGGGCAAAGATAGGCTCGCGCCCATTCGGAGTGATGATCGTCGGCGCTGCCTCGCGCAAGTCGGAGGGTGTGGGCGCCGCCAGGGCGGCGACGGCGAGAGCGGCCAACATCGAGTCTGAAGGCCCGAGATCCCAATTGATGGCTGTGGGTCGCTGTTTTCACGGTTCTCACTTTAAATCAGTCAAGTCAAAAGATAAGTTTCTTTTGAACTAGACTCATAACAATGTCCAGCGTCCACCCATACCGCGTTGCGAGTTTGCGGCGCACGCGCTGCGCGTAGGCGGCGCGTGGGCGGGTGGCCCGCCCGGCCGATGAGCACCGGACGCGAGGGTCGGTCGGCTCCTAACAACTAGCTGTATATAGTCGCGATCTGCCGGCGTGCGTATGAGCTCACTAGCTAGAGCTCACACTAGAGGCCGTCATCGCATTCGCCTTCCTGGTACCCAGCGCTGGCTTCTGACTGTCGTTGCTGTCTCTTAGGTTAGGTTAGGTAGAAAGGTGAAGAAAGTCAGGTTGGACTGGACACCAACCAGCGCGGTATGCTACTACATCTCCAGCGCGTCGACGCCAAGGAGGCGGCTGGTGAGACAGTCACCATCGGTATGCGGAAGGGCGACCAGCTTGCAAACGGATCGAAGGACATTCCGTGCGAGCACAACATTCGTCACAACGGCACCATGTATGCGGCGGCCAACATGGTCTGTGCACGAGCCTGCGGCAAGCTCGTGCTCGGTGACAAGGCGAACCCTCAGACGACTTTTCATCTCAACGAGGGGCACGTCACCGACATGTGCGAGATCGGCGGGGACCTGCAGTCCCAGCGCGATGTCCACTACGAAGTCAAGGTGCCTAGCGCCCTCACAAAGACGAGGCAGGCTGGGCAGGGCTCGGCGGCACACGGCGGATGCTGTGCGTCACTGGGCCACAAGTTTGGTTTCGGCAACACCCTCGACCAAACCTTGCTCAAGGTTCTTGGGTGCAAAGAGCGCGGCCACAAGTCACAGGGCCCGCTCGTCCATGCGACCGGTAAAGGCTGGGTCAAAGGGCACAAGGGACAGTACTACGACGCGCTCCATGTCAAGAACGGAATCGTCAAAATTTGTCTCGTCGAAAGCCAGGGCGGCATCGCGCCGCCGACCAAGAGAATCATCTTCAACTTCGCCAAAGAGGTCGGCAGCCCGAGCGCCGTCGACCGCACCGACTACGGCACAGCCTCCGGCAGCGCCCGGGGCTTCGCCCAGCACCACTCGCAACAGCTCTCGCGCGCCGCCGTCTGTGGCGACGCGCAAAACATCAACAACGCTGCTCGCAACATGCGTGTCGCGCACTCATTCATGACCGGTCTCAATGCCCCACCCCCCTGCGCGCGGGCCTTCTAGGCCCGCGGGTAGTCTCCCCCCATTCCCAGGGCCTCCAGGGCTCGTACCTCAACCTCTCACAGACCAGCGCACAGCGCTATACGACGTATTTTCTTCTCAATAACAAGGCTGTGAACGGAGCTTCTCTTGCCGAAATAGGGGCACCCAGGGTTATGGTCTGGTACCTCGGGCGAGCTGGCGCGTGTGTAGACCGCATCGGCGGCCCTGGGAAGTACGACTCCGCGTCGACGTCCAACAGCCTCTCCTACGCAGAGAATCACGCCACTTGCCGCCGGTCCTGCGACGTCGGCGCTTTCTGCGTCGGCTACAGCTTTTACGCTCCGCTCGTCGGAGGTCAGGTCGAGTGCAAGACCTATAAGGCGCCAGCACCGGAGGACGCGATTGCGGGCGCAACGCCCTCGAGCGGCACGACGTGCTACGAAAAAATATATTCACCGGCGCCGCCGCTGCCCCCTCCGACCTCGCCGTCGCCCCAGCGGCCGCCGCCCTCGCCGTTGCCATACCCGCCGTTGCCATATCCGCCGCCGCCGCTGCCGCCCAACCCCCCGACTCCGCCGAGTCCGCCACCCTCTTCGCCACCGTCGTCGCCGCCGCTGCCGCCTCAGCCGCCGCCGTCCCCGCGGCCCGCGCCGCCACCCGCGTCTCCGCCCGCGCCGCCCTCGCCCCCACCGCCCTCGCCGCCGCCACCCTCGCTGTCGCCCTCGCCACCGCCGCCCTCGCCACCGCCGCCCTCGCCGCCGCCGCCCTCGCCCCCACCGCCCTCGCCGCCGCCACCCTCGCTGTCGCCCTCGCCACCGCCGCCCTCGCCACCGCCGCCCTCGCCACCGCCGCCCTCGCCACCGCCGCCCTCGCTGCCGCCACCCTCGCTGTCGCCCTCGCCACCGCCGCCCTCGCCACCGCCGCCCTCGCCCCCGCCGCCCTCGCCGCCGCCACCCTCGCTGTCGCCCTCGCCACCGCCCGCGCTACCGCCGTCCCCGCCAGCGCCACCGCCGTCCCCGCCTCCAAACGCCGTCCTCGTGGCGCGAGACGCATTGATGCGGCTGCCCGGGCCTCTCGCGCCGAAGCAGGAAAGCTGCGCCGCCGGCCTCCCGGCGGACGCCCCCTCGTGCTCGTGCGGCATCGTCTCACCCGAAGCGGCGCCCGCGTGCTGCGCCGCCTCTTGCGGCGAGTGCGGCTACGACTGGGGCTGCACGTCGCGCAGCGGCGGCGAGAAGCTCTGCTGCAACGACAAGATACGCGCAGAGGCCGCGCCGTGCCGCTCGCCGTTTGATGTTGGTTGCATCATCCTCACCTCGCCGCCGCTTCCGCCGCCGCCACCGTCGCCGCCGCTCGGCCCTCCCCCCACCGCACCGCCCTCATCGCCGCCGTCGCCGCCCTCCCCGCCACCCTCCCTGCCCGCCCCGAGCTTGCCGCCGCCGCTGCCGCCACCGGCACCGGCACCGCCGCCGCCGCCGCCGGCACCGCCGCCGCCGCCGCCGCCGCCGCCGTCGCCGCCGCCGCCGCCGCCGGCGCTGCCGCCACCGCCGCTGCCGCCACCGCCGCCGCCGCTTTCGCTGCCGGCCGCGCTAGCCTACCTTGTGGGCCTCGTCCAGGGAGCAGCTCGGGACGCACCAGGGGAGGCCGGTTACGGCCTTGCGTGGCCGCTGGCCTTCGCCGCCGGCGCCCTCGCCGCCATGATCCTCCTCGCCCGGCGGTGCCCCGCCCGCCCCTCCTCGTGCTGCGGACGGCCCCTCTCCCTCCCCTTCTCGCGCCTCTCCGACCCCGACAGCTCCAGCCCCACGGCCAAGGTCAACGGCTCCGCCAAGGGGCGGGCTCGGACACGTGACGGCGCGCTCGAGGCGGTCGGGCGTCGAGTCGGGCAGGGGCGCCCAAAGGCGGGCGAGGCCGAGCCGAGGCCGGCCTCGCTCGCCCTCTCGCCTCGGAGGCTGCCCACCCCGCCCGAGCCGGTGGACCGAGTGCGGATGGTAGCTGAGGAGCTCACTGCCCTCGAGGCGAGCGCAGGCTGCCTCCCCGCACCCTCGCTGGTCGAGCGCTGCTCGCAGCTCGCCGCCGAGCTCCAGGCCGTCGACGTGGCCGCCGACAAGCGCCTCGCCCAATGGCGCGCCTTGCAGCTCCGCCGCTGCGATGGCCTCCTCGCCTACCTCTCCCCGTCGCCGCTGCCCTCGCCGCGCCTGGCCTCGTGTGGCGACTCCCCCGCAGTTTGACCCCTCACATGCAGGGGCAGATCTCACGTCAGTCTCTGGTCCTGCCCTTGAGATCTCCCAAAGTCGAGATGATACCATGTCCACGTCCAAAACCGCCGTTTTTTATGAAATCCGAGCCGTCCCCCCCCTGACCCCCCCTTGGACGCGTCCTCCCTCCGTCAAACATAGTATGTGGGAGACTCCTGCCGCCGCCCCTGCCACCCCTGTGTCAGTGTGGTGTGTGCCCGTGGTTGCGAGAGACTGCCAGTGAGAAGCTGGAGGCAGGTCACTAGACTGAGATGAGACCGCCAGTGGAGTTGGGAGTCCACCGTGCACCGCGCTGCGAGCTGTCGTGTCCCTTGTCAGGAGCAGGAGAGCCCCACCTGTGCCCCTGGTCGTCCTTCCAAAATCCTGCTCGTGCAGGTGTGGGACGCCTGTCCTCCTCCCCCATCCCTCTTTGCTTTGTCTGTTTCTTTCTTCCTTTCTTTAGAGTCGTCCTTGCGCGAGGAGAGCTTGAGCACTTGAGCACTGGATAGGGTCGATTCCGCATGGTACGGGACCCCTCGATCGTCTCGCCCTCCCTCGCTGGTGTGCTCATCGGGGGGGGGGGGTCATAACAAACACGGTACAGGATCGAGGTGCACGCTGCCGAAGCAGTGTCGTCCCCCCTCTCCTCGACGGCGGTGGCGGTGTGACCGATCGAGCTACAAGAGGAGCTCGTTCAGCAGGATCAGGGGTGGGTCGAGCAGTTCTCACTTCCTCAATGGGTGAGCTTCAGTTCTCATGGCCGGCGCCACCACGCGTCCTCCCCTTCACCCCTCGGCTCGTGTGGATTCGAACCACGGCCGGGATGGAAGCGGACTGGCGCGTGCTAGCACTGACACAGGCAAACATAATGAATTCTCAAAAAAGAAGCCTTTCTGACAGCACAAAGAAAGCGTGCCAAGTCGAGGTTGCCCGTTCTCGTGTGTGTGTCCGCCTGTTTGCGTTGTTTGCTTTTTTATAACATTCGCGTTCTGGCACGTCAGTCCGGTGGCCGTACGGGGGATATCACGCGGGGGGGGGGGGCGTCCGAAATGGGTAATATAGGACGCATCACACCAATGGACACGCACACCGTATCTGCCTAGATCAGATCTCCTACCCAGGCTCAATCAACAAAAAGCCAATGCAGCTCACGAACAGGCCGCATGATCGTGTCCAGGTATAAGAGCCAAAAGCACGCTGCCGGACACCGCCGTGCAGAGGCCGGAAGGGGGGGGGGGGGGGGGTCACCACCTGCACCCACGCTGTACTTCGTCCATGGCCACGCGGCGGCAACCACAGGTACTGCATGCAAAAGTTGCACGCGCCACGGCGCAGAAGAACGCGAAAATCGCAAAATTGCCAGGCGAGAAGACGGCTCCGAGTAGTCACACGGCTTCGCCTCAGGCCCCGGGACCTTGGTTGTGGAGAGGAAGAGAGCGCCATCTGCGCGGAGGCGCCGGCGGTGGCGGTGTGGGCGGCGGAGGCGCCGGTGGCGGCGACGTGGGCAGTGGCGGCGACGGCGGGGTGGAGGGCGGCGGCGGCGGCGGCGAGGGCCCTGGTGGGAACTGGTAGCAAAAGTAGCAGCTGCCGCAAAGCTGGGTTTTGGGGCAGTGCTTGTCGGGGTTGTTCTTGCACCACGGCTTGCACACGTTTGCCGGCGGCGGTGGCGGCCCGCAGGGGTCGCAGTACTCGAGCGTGCCGCACGCGATGCGGCCGCCGTCGTACCCGTGCACCACAAAGGCCTTGCCGAGCACATCGAGCGAGGTGCCGCCCGTGACGGCGGACAGCTTCCCCTCCGCGTTGCCGTTGGTGGACGAGACGTAGGAGAGGCTCTTCTCCGTCCACGGGTCGGCAAAGCCGTTCGTGGCGTAGTGTCCGCCAACCTGGCTGGCGGCCTCGCACGAGGAGCCCGAGTGGATGTGAAGGCCACACGAGTTGCCGAACGAGGCGTTGTACCCGCCAGCGCAGCCTGTGCGTGGCACGGACGGAGAATGGGCTGGACGCGGGTGCGGGCTAGGGCGAGGGCGCGGGCGAGGGCGCGGTCGCGGGCGCGGGCGCGGTCGCGGGCGCAGGCGCGGGCGTGGTCGAGGGCTGTGCGCGGTGTGCCGAGGTCGAGGCCCTTGAGCGTATAGTCAAAGTACTGCGTGGTCTTGTCCACAGTAACCATCGTGATGACACCCGTCGCGTCGGGGAAGGCGCCGTAGTAGCCGGGGTAGGTTGCGAAATTGGTCACGCACAGCGGGTCTACCACGGGCTCCATCAGCGCGCACGCGATGCGCCCGCCGTCTGCGTCATGGACGACAAAGGCCCGGCCCAGCAGGTCGCTCGTAGTCGCGCCAGTGTCGGCGTCAAAGTTGCCCGAGGCGGTTCCGGTTGTCGTGCTGTAAAACGCGACGTAGTCCTCGCCCATGCCACCGTCGGACCACGGGTCTGCCGCGGGGGGTTGGTAATAGTGCCCCCCGACCTCGGAGGCGCTGGAGCAGGTGAAGCCAGAGTGGATGTGGATGCCGCACGCGTTGCCGGAGAGTTCGAGTGGGTCGGTGCCGTTGCAGCCCGTGTCGAGGCCCGACAGGTCGTAGACGAAGGTCTGTGGGTAGGGAGGCGTGGGGGTGTGATCGGAGCCACAGACAGCCATGGGCAGGGCGGGGCGACGGCTCGGGAAGCAGGCCTGCACGCCATCCCCGTCCGAATACAGGGAAACCTTGCCAGTGACCGACGAGAAGGGGCCCCCGTAGCCCGGGTAGGGGCCGAACTTGACGGTGGCGAGCTCGATCTTGGGGCCGCACTGGGCGCCGAGGTGAATGGCGGGAGCGATTGAGAGCATGTTGTCGCGGACGTACGTAGTTGTGCTGGGCTGTGGCGGGCTGCAACACACCGGCCCGAACTAACGGCAAATTCCGGGCCAGACGGAAGAGTGAAAACTCCTCCCTGCGGCATGTCCATGTGCGCAGAACGGGTTGCGCAATGTGCGGCATCGTGTTGAGGGCTCGGGAGGGCAACGACGGCAGCGTTGCCGAGCTTGTACAGGGGCCTCAATCCTGTCCCCGATGGGGTGCGCCTCTCGCCGCGCGCGTAGCAGTCGGCGCGCGGGTAGCCTCAGAGATGCGCAGAGCGAGATGCGGGTATCAGCAAACCAAGCCCTGGGCTTGGATGGGCGCGGCGAAGCCGCGGCGCAGTGGATAGCGTGAAGAACTCGAGATCGCTGGGATCTTGAGCCGCCGCTGCCACGTGCAAGCCCCGCAGAGGTGCGGGCGAGAGGGCGGCCCGAGCCCGATAGGGCCCGCCCTCGACCTTGCTCTACATGGTAACGGATAAGAAGAGAAACTATGGAGCGGGACACGCTGTGGTTCAGACGCCTTTAGATTGGTGTTCCGAGGGGGGGGCGGCGGTAGAGTTGTGCGCGATAGACTGTAATTACAACGAAAAATGCCTTTTTTGGAGCATCGAGTGAGACCAGGTATCGGCTCAACTAGGGATCCCGAATGAGCTTGGCGGACGACACGGACGAGTCCCCCTTGGGGCGCTAGATGATTGCGAGGAGGCGCCTGCGGCGGCGCGGGGCGGCGTGTGGGGCGCCTTCGACGCGGCGCGACAGTGGGTCGACGGCGTCGTCGGCAGCGCGTATGAGTACGCCAACAAGCGGTGCGGCATCGAGACAAAGATCCGGCAGGCGCGCAGCTGCGCGCGCATATCGATTCGCAAATGCGTGCCGGCGCCGATCCAGAGACTACCCTGCTTTGGGTGTGTCGACGAGGCGCTCAAGCCCGGCCCAATGCACGACGACGAGCCCAAAACGCTCGAAGGCCCGAGACGCGCGCGCGAGATATGCGGCGAGACGCGAGATGAAGGGCGCGTGTTCTGGGGCCTAGGCATCCAACAGAAGATCGATGAGATGCGCGCGGCGTTCAGAGAGGACGCACAACGGCGTCTCGCGAAGTTGGCGGGTGGCTCCCTGCCCATGAGGCCCGTTACTACCCGGTGGGAGCCTAAGCCGGTGGGGCTCGCGGAAGTCCCCCGTTGAGCCAGAGGCACCACCGCCATAGGCCGGTCAGCAGCAACCAGCCGAGCTCCGCGAAAGCCATGGCGGAGCGCATCGTCTCCAGCGCCGAAGTGAGGCGGGCATCAAGTGCTTCCGAGCGTAAAGTATTCCTGAGCGGAACATTCTGGCGTGTAGGAGAAGAAGAATTCCATTGAGCGCTGGACCGCACAGCAGCTGAAAGGGTCGTCCACTGATGACGAGGACAAGCAGCGCGCGGATGCTCAAAAGCGCGAACCAGCGGCTCCCTCGCGCCGATATTGAATCGTGCCTGATCGGCCGGAGCCGTGCGCTCATGAAGCGTCAAGGCACGCCGTCCATCCAGATCCGCCACAACCGTAGAGTTGGGGTTGTGTACATGGAGAAAAACAAAAAAGCAGACGGGGGCGCCGAGGGACCGAGATATTCGCATTCGGCGAGAAGTGCCGGGGGAGAGGTGGAAGGCAGGTGGCAGCGCAGGCCGGCGCCAGCGCTTCCGCTTATTTTGTTTTGTTCACAGCTGGGGGCCAATGTTGCACTGTTGTTATGTTGGGGAGCCCCACTCCCAACGGTTGGCATCTCTGCTAACAAAGAAAACCGAAGTCTTCCGGCGAAGCAATGGCCCACCGCATCGGCGCCCGCGTCGCGGGCCTCTCGCCAGAGCAGCTGTACGTCATCATCAAGGAGCAGGGTCCCTCACGCTCGGATCTGTGCGCCATCATCGAGGCGCAGGCGGCCGCGAGCGACGCCGCGCTGCGCGTGGCGGAGGAGCACGCCGCACTGCTCGTGGAGCAGCCCGAGTCGGTCCTCTCCGTCCTCCTCTCGCCGGACCTCGTGCCGCACATCCTCGCCCAGCTGCCGACCAAGGCGCACGCCGTCAAGGGGGCGTGCCGCGCGTGGCGCCGCGGCTGGAAGGAGACGCTGAAGAAGCGCGAGCGGCCACGCATGCTCGTGATCGGCGGCAGCAACGGCGGGTTGCTCAACTCGCTGGAGCGGTTCGACCCGTCCACAAACGAGTGGGAGGAGGAGGCTGTGGCGCCGATGCCGACGGAACGAAGGTATGTCGGCATGGCGGTGCTCGATAACAAACTGTACGCGGCGGGCGGCCAAGATGTGGCCGACTATCAAGGCCACTTTGCAGCTCTCAACTCGGTGGAGCGGTACGACTTGGCTACGAAAGCATGGGAGGCTGTGGCGCCGATGGCGGCGGCGATGATGGAGGGGACGCGCGAGTATCACGCCGTGACGGTGTTCGATGGCAAGCTGTATGCTGTGGGCGGCTACAATGAGGACGACGGCACCCTCAGCTCGGTGGAGCGGTACGATCCCGCGGTGGGTGCGTGGGAGGCGGCGGCGCCGCTGGCAGGGGCACGGTGTTCTACCGCCATCGCGGTGCTCGACGGCAAGCTGTACGCTGTGGGAGGCTACAACGACGACGACGGCACCCTCAGCTCGGTGGAGCGGTACGACCCGGCGCTGAATGCGTGGGAGACGGTTGCGCCGATGGCTGAGGCTCGGGAGGAGCTCGCCGTGGCGGTGCTCGACGGCAAGCTGTTCGCTGTGGGTGGCATGAACATCGGTGGCTACCTCGCCTCGGTCGAGCGATACGACGCGTCGCTGAACGCGTGGGAGGCTGTGGCGCCGATGGCGTCGGCTCGCGTAAATCTCGCAGCTGCGGCGCTCGACGGCAAGTTGTACGTTGTGGGCGGCCACACTGAGATCGAGGCCCTCAGCTCGGTGGAGCGATACGATCCCGCGACGAACGCGTGGGAGGCGGCTGCGCCGTTGACGACCGCACGATATTCTCATGGCATCACCATGGCGTAGGGTTCTCTGGAGCCTGACGTGCGTGCAGATGAAGCGCGGGCCGCGCATGATGAATGAAAACTGAGGCCATGGGTACTGGATCGCCGCACACCACACGCAATAAAGCCGTTGGTACACACATACACACCGCACGTACGTGTACCCGTCGCGCAAACCGTTTAAATTGGCAAACCGCGTCGCGAGGGGGGCGAGGGTCTCTACCAACGCGCCCTCACGGCCTCGTCTCCATTTGCGCCCGCTTCCACTCCTCCTCCTCCTCCGGGGAGAGGGGAGGCACCGCCTCTGCAGCGGCCGTCGCCTCTTCCATTGCGGCGGCGCTCGCAGCAAACTGCCACGCCGTGCTCGCTGCGGCTGCGGCTGCCGCATCCGCGTCGAAAGCTGCGCGCTGCTCCGCCGCCGACGCGTCTTCGGCTGCTGCGGCGGCGGCAGCGGCCTCCGCCATCGCAGCCCGCACTGCCTCTTCCGCCGCCTCGGCGGCCGCGGCCGCTTCCCCCGCCATTCGGCGCGCCTGCAGCCGACGCGAGTGTGGGTGTGTGTGTGGGACGGGGCGCGGAAGGAGTCCGGGCAAAAGCAAACGAGCTCCTGGAGAAGCGCGGCGCGCGCCTCCTCCGACACGCCCGCCTCCGCCTCGGTCGCCTCCGCCTCGCCCCCGCCTCCGTCGGCGCGACGTCGCGCCAGCGCGCGAGCCACCACCGACGCGCGTCGCTCTGCGCGCGGGTCGCCGAGGAGCCCGCGCCACGGGCCGGTGCGGCTGGCGATGCGGGCGGCCGCGAGGAGAGTGCGCATGCCCATCAGCACGCCGAGTCCGGCCCACACGCCCGGCAGACCCCACCGGGGCGCGAGCCACCGCATGGCTGCCGCGGCTGGGGCGGCGGAGAGAAGCATGCCGACGGCGCAGAAGCCATAGTCGCTCGCGCCGAAGAGGAGCCTAGGCCAGCGCCGCCCGGAATACCTTACGAGACGGAGGTGGGTGCTAGGGGTGTGTGCGTGTGTGGTGTGGTGGTGGTGGGGGGGGGAGGGAGGGGGGGAGCTTCTGTGTCGGTGGGAGAGAGGGGGAGGAAAGGCGGCTCGCCCGTCTGCAGCAAAAGCGAGCGTGTTGAGAGGCTGCGACGCGACGACAGCCGGCCAGGCGGCGGCCGCAGCCGCGAGGACGGCGGGGTCCGCCGCGAAGAGGCGGAAGAGGCTGCGCCCGCCGATACTCAGGGCCGCTGCGGTGCCCAAGCCGGTGGCGCAGCCGGCGCGCAGCGTGCGCTGCACCACGGTCCGGGCGGCGCTGGTGCGCCTCGCGGCGGCGACGTTGGCGAGCAGCGCTTGCGCCGCGATGGCGACCGCGTCGGCGAGGAGGGAGGCCGCGAGCCAGAGCTGGAGGCAGACTTGGTGCGCGGCGCCGGAGGCCGCGCCGACCCGGGCAGCGAGGAGCGAAGAGTACGAGATCGTGCCGAGGACCGCGAGGGTGCGCAGCGTGAGCACGGAGCCGGACGAGAGCAGCCGCACCACGTCGCGCCGCCGAGGCAGCTGCAGCGACGACTCGCCGCACCGCCGCAGCAGCTGGCGGAGCATCACGGCGGCGCCGGCGTACTGAGCCGCCGCAGTGGCGCCCGCAGCGCCGGCGGCGCCCCAGCCGAGGGCGCGCGCGGGGATGAAGGCGGCGTCGAGGGCGACGTTGACTGCGGTGACGGTGGCGAGGCCGAGCAGCGGCGTCCTCGTGTCGCGCGCGCCGCGAAAGGCGCCCTGGATGCAGCAGAGGCCGAGCGAGGCTGGCGCCGACAGGCCTCGCAGCAGAAGGTACGCCACCGCCGAGGGGCGCATCGGGCTGCCCGCGGCGATGCCGAGCGTGTTGAGGAGGCGGCCGGCGCCGAGGGTGAGGGCGGCGGCGATGCCGAGGCCGGCCACGGAGGCCACTGCGAGGGAGGCCGAGACGGCCTGAAGCATGGGAGTGGTGAACTCGCCCGGCTCGGACTCTGGCGACGCAGCGGCGACGAGCGACGTCGTGGCGGGCGAAAGGAAGTTGAAGGCTTTGGCGACGAGGTTGAAAATGCCCACGCCGATGCCCACGCCGGCGAGGTCGGCTGTGGCGCAGCAGCGGCCGACGAAGGCGGTGTCCACGAGGCTGGCGACGGGCTCGATGGACAGCCCGACGAGGGCAGGGGCGCCAATCTCGGCCATCTGGCGGTCGATGGCCGCCTCGTCGCCGCCATCGCTGAGCGCGGGAGTGCCGAGCCTCCTCGGAGAGAGGGCCGGAGGGTGTCGGGCAAAACGTGCGAACGAGACGGCGGCCAGCGAGAGGAGGAGCATCGCGCAGCGGTCGCGGGAGGATGTAGCGAGACGAGAGACACTCGGGTGGGGCGACAGCTGATGCAGCCGACCGCCCGCCACGCCGCCACGCCGCAGCCGAGGCGGCACAGCAAGTCGTCAACTTCCCGGTTTTCTTTGTGATGTATTTTTTTATTCTTACTTGGAGGACCGGAGCCCTTATCAGTTAGCTTGCGCCCTTGCGCCGCCGGGGGGATAGGTGCGCCGCCTTGCCGACCGACAACGCAAGCGCGCTCTATTTCGGCAAGACGCGACGCCCCAACACTCGCCAACCACCCTCGCCCGGCAACAGCATCTATCACGCCGCACGCAGTCGCAACCCACTACCAGCCGCCGCCACCAGCACGGCGGTCACACAGCGGCCCACTGCCCCCACCGCGCCGTCAACGCGCCATCACCCTGCCACACTACTACCATATGATCGCTTTGCGCTGCCACATTGGCCCTCGCCACCTCCTGCCGGATTCGCAGCACGTCTCGCAGAGGACTTCCGTGAGAAGCATCACGCCCTGTTAGGCACCTGAACTCCGATGGAACCCATCTCGATCGCGATTGGTATCGGCTTGTCGGGTCTCTGGATTTCCTTCACGGGCCAGCCTGAACAAGTCGGAGAAATCATGAACCTTGTGGCCACTTCGTGATGGCAATCAAGACCAAGGTGCTAGCCGTCTCGTTTCGCGCTGGTCGCCATATACAGAGGCATATTCGTGTGCGCGGCGGGTCCCGGACCCTCCCCTTGCCCGTCCGACGTAGACCGAGGGAGTTCGTCGTCTGCCGAGGTTTAGCCATGGAGTGGAAGCTAAGTATTTAACGTTGTCAATATGAAAACAGGACCCCACAACGAGCAGGACTGATGCCGCCTTTGCGCTCGCGTCGTCGGGGGCCCTCTGCGCTCTGGGTCTGGCTCTGTTACGTGTTTCGTGTTAGCTCTGCGCCCCCCTTGACCCTCTGCACATGGTCATGGAGATTTCGTACTCAGTACTCACTGACTGATGTATACACACGGACGGACACGTCACGAGGATCGAGGTGGACTTGAGAAAAAGGAAAAATCGTGAATCGTGTCGGCTCGTGTCGCGGCCACTTGTCTCTTGTGGAGGTTCATGTGTGCGCACATTTTCCCCTGCACTGCACTTTCCACGGTCGCGCCTGCTCACAATCACACCTGTAACACTCACCGCGTGACCGAGAGCGTCGGAAACTTTAAATGCTTTGCACAAGCTCAAGGCACACGGGACGGGCAGAGCCGCAGACTAGTGACGGGAGGCCTGGGAGTGGGACGCGCCCCCGCGGCTCGACTCTTGCCAACTCCCCGCTCGCCCCCTAACCCTTCGCCCGCATCCGGAGCATGTACCGGAGCAGCACCGCCGTCTCCTCGGGCGAGTCGACCCACAGCGTCCCGCACGCGCGCCGCGCGAGCAGGTCGTTGCCCGTCTGGGTGAACTGGTCGCCCATGTGCAGCGTGCTCTGCGGCGTCGCGCCGACGATGCGCTGCAGCGAGGCGATGCCGAGGTCCTTTGAGCCGACGTCGACAAAGACGTCCCGCCCGCCGTTGAAGGCGCAGAAGGGCATGCTGCGCAGCGCGGCGTTGGTGCGCTGCTCCTCCCGCACCGCCTGCCGCGCGTGCACGGCGAGCTCGTCGAGCCTGTGGATGAATGAGGAGTGCGTCAACATTGTGAGCTAGTCGATGGGTGCGCGGGCAGCTCGTCGTACATGAGCGTGGTCGTGCGGTGCAGCTCCGTGCGGTGCTTCTCCGCCTATTGAGTAAGGATTGCGTACTCGCGTACATAGCGTGCGTTTGCAGCTCCGCGCGGTGCTCCTCCGCCTCGTACAGCACGCCGACCGCGCGCTCCTTGCGCACCAGCTTGACCTTGTCGGCCATGTGCATCCGCGCGGCGCCTAGCCATCAATCAACTGCCACACTGACCATGCAACACGCTGGTCGGCCAAGACAAGCCGTCCGCGCGGCGCCGTCGAGAAGGGCGCGCTGAGCCACGTCGAGCAGCCGCTGCAGCTGCTGCGGCCGCCACCGTTCCATCTCCGGCAGCCTCCACTCCGAGGGGGGCACCTGTTCACAGCTGCAGGTGTGAAGAGACGCTGTTCACAGTGCAACTGCGTCTCGGCGTTCGTGAGGGGGGCACCATATAGAGGGTGGCGACGCCGCCCTCCGCGCGGCAGCGGGCAAGGTAGTTGCACTGCCCGCCGACCACAAAGACGCGGCTGCAGAGCGCCTGCAGTATGACACAACGGAGTCGAATCTAGTCGAATATTCAGCCGACGACGGCGACGACGCGGGCGCAGATCGCCTCGGGTGCGCCCGCCGCGGTGAGGGCGGCGAGGAGGCCGGAGAGGCGAGCCTATCAGCTGCTCATGATTGGTGAATCGAGGTGACTGACGATTCGCCAATTCATTGGACGCCGCAGAGGCCAGAGGCGGGCCTCGTAGGGCGCAGCCTCGTCGAACCCAACCGCCGTGACGAGGGCGAGGGCGACGCCGCGCGTGAGCAGCTCGAGCAGCAGCGGCACGAGCGGCGCGTCGCTGCCCAGCGTGGCGCGGTCTGGATAGAGGGTCTGGTCGCCTGTACGGTGGCACATCCAGCGGACGTGTCGCGGACGTGTCGCGGACGTGTCGCGGACGTGTCGTGGACACGCGGAGAGAGTCTCTGGTCGCCGTCGAAGGTGAGCAGCTGCAGGGCTGCGCCCGGGCCCGCCGCGCCGCGGACCTGGGCGAGGCTGCAGATGTTGCGCAGCTCCTTGATGTCATCTCCCCATATCTCCCCATATCTCCCCATAGACCTGGGCGAGGTTGCAGATGTTGCGCAGCTCGCGGAAGGTCGCCGGCACGTACTGGCGGCAAGTGACGTGCGCCTTCAGGCATCGAGCAGGACTGAGCAGACTCAACAGCGAGTACGATTGGTCACGTATGGTAGTAGTAGCAGCAGCAGCAGCAGCAGCAGCAGTAAGGGGTGGGGGGGGCGAGTACGGCAGGGTGGCCTCGTTGTCGTAGTCGATCAGCGCCTCGCGGAGGTGGAGCGGCTGCCACAGCCGGCCAAACTCGTTCGAGACGAGCCTACTCGTTGCACAGATGGAGTAGTGAAGGGATGTCCTTCATGCTCACAGCCAGAGAGCCGACACACACGCAGCGGTTGCCTCGGCGCGAGAGTGCTCAGCTCGGTGGGTGGCGCGTCTTCGCGCTGTGCGGCCTCGAGGTGTTCGGCGATCAGGTCCTCCGCCACGGCACACGCCTACTCGTGGGCAGCGGCATTGTCGGAGCTCTCGCAGCCGCGCCATCGCTCATGGCGCACACCTCTGTGAGCGAGAGGCGGTCGAGGAGGTCGAGCATGAGGGAGATGAGCGGGTCGGCCGCTTGCCGGCGCGCGAGCTGGCTCGGCGTCATGTCGTGCTTGGCCCTCCCGCGCGTGATCTCGCCCTGATCCTCCTCCGACTGCTGCATTGCCAGCGTGACTGCCCGTGAGCCAGTGAGCAGGGCCCGCTGGAGGGCGAGCATTGCCGCGATCCCTGCGAGCGCGCCGGCAGCGCTGAAGGCGAGCTCGCGGGCGGACGGCGACATATGTCTGTATAGAGCTCGTGCGGTGTGGTCTGCTCGACGCCACTCGTCGGTCGGCAGGCGCTGTTGATGGCGGCACAACGCGCGAGAGAACGGAGTAGAGATGCGGGCAAAGCAATACCGACGGCCAGAGAAAAAGAGATGGCCGGTAAGTGCACTCGAAGTGCTCCAAGCTCCCCGGCGCCGGTGTTTCTCTCTCTAGAGCGCGCGGAATCCACGGAGGCGCGAGGGAGAAGTCAGCGAGGGAAGGGACGGCGGGGGGGTGGGAGGCGGTGGTGGGGAGGGGGGCAGGAGGGGGGGGCGAGGATGCGAGGAAGGAGGTGGGGGGGGGAAGGAGACGGCGAGGGAAAAGGTGGCGGGGGAAGGGGCGGCGGGGAAGGTCGAAGGAGGCACTCTTTTCTTTGCGCTTACAATAGCCTTACTTATGAAACACAAACGCAAGGCGGACATTTTATATCGCTCTCGGGCCCACAGACATCCCGCACACCCGCCGCCCCCCGCGCGCGCCCCACCCCGGCCGGGAGAAAGGGGAGTGACAGCTTGGGACGGCAACAGACGAGCGAGTATCTTGCACTCCATGTGCAAGAACGCAGAGAGAAATGAAAGCCGTCCGGCTCACAAGTCCGGCTCACGCGCCCCGACTGACCGATCTACCGCACTGGCCACTTCCGCCCCCTCGCTCCCAACCCATCCACCTCGCCTCGGCCTCGGGCCGCGCCGCGCGATCTCGGGCGATCTCGCGCTATCTCGGGCGATCTCGGGGCCGCGCCGCGCTATCTCGGGCGATCTCGGAGCGTCGCTCAACGCGCGCGGCGTGCAGCTCTTCGCGCCGTACGTGGACGGGCTGTGCTATCTGCGAGTGATGGCGCAGATCTACCTCACGCTGAGCGACTACGACCGCCTCGCGAGGATGGTGCTCCTGGAGACGGTGGGCGCGCGCGACGGGGCGTAGCTCTGCTTTGTGCCGCCGTGGTGGGTGCAGCTGCGTCACCGATAGCCGTAGCGGGACCCGCGTCTGTGCGTCCGACCGCCCGAGCTGCGGCCTGTCGAGCCTCCCTCTCCTCTCGGAGCGGTTGCCTCGGGTCCAGAAGGGAAACACTCATAGAGAAACCGTGAACGGGAGCCTCAGCCCTGAGCCCTGAGAGGGATGCGCTTTTACTGTACAGCTGTCCATGCTAGGCGTTGAGTCTCACTAACTACATACATGCATGCCGCGTGTGAACATGCGCAGTGTGTGTGCATGTCCATGTTTGATCTCACTAACTACAAACATGCAAGCACGAACATGCGGGAAAGCGGGTTCGGTTCATGTGGGCTGCTCTGGCAGCCAATACGCATGGATACGGGGACGAGACACTCATTGTACGTAGTAGTAGTACAGTACTCGGTGTGTGGGTCGCTGGCGTCTGCTTTAC